GGGCCATCTCCTCATATCAGCTTTGGGACAGGGGCACAATGATTTAGACTTGGTGGCTACACGCTTGACTCTACTTACAAAATGAAAAGAATTTTATCAGTGTGTTTTCTCTTCTCTCACTAACGCTCTCCTCCCTTCCTAGGGTCATATTGGTAATCTGGCTCCCCTGCCCCCTGAAAACAAACCTAACAGTGTTGGTCAGTTTCCATGCTATAAATACTTCCACCACAGTCAATTTCCAGCTACTAATGTGACATCAGCGAACAGGGAGTTGAGAAGAAATGCACAAAATCAGCTCTCCTGAGCCAGTGCACTGGGACCCAGCACACCACTGTCTCCCCATCCATGGTTTTTCAGGTTACGCAATAAGTATAGGTTAAAGAAGATGAATTTGTTTAAAGCGACGATCTTTCCTGCTTGCCTGTTACTCTCTAGGGTTGCTCTTTTGAGGAGAAAGTTCTCAAATTAATGAACCACTTGCTGATGGTTCTAACCAAAGATTAAAGAACACATGATTTTGCTCTTTTAGAAACTATTGAACTGACTTCAGCTTCTCTTAAAACCAGTCTCCCAGGAGGTCCTTCAGTACCAACAAACAACTGGAAAGGACATTACTGACACTAAAAAAAAAAAAAAGGAAAGTATTGGCCACAGAAGACATAAGGCCAGAATCTCAGTATGCAGCAATTTCTGCTGGAGACTTACCCGACTGCTGAAAAAGACTGCTCTCCACTATCTTGGTCATGCAGTTAAGTTTCTGCCGCACTAACTGGTTGTCAGGAATGCTCTGAATAAACTTGCAGAAGAGCTCACTGTAAGAGAAACCCGACGGTCACTGTTTTCCTTCTGCCAAGTTGAAGCATCATTACAAACTTTTCTCCTCCACTCTGAGATGTGGACGTGGAGAAGTTTAACTGGAAAACTCCCAAATGACCCGAGACCATGCCTCCAGGAAGCAACAGGGACAGTATTCCTTGCTCCCTAGAAGGTTAGCTCTGCTTAACAGCTGACTCTACTTAAACTGCCCAAGTACATCCATGTCCACCATCACTTTCCAGACCTGTCTTAATGCTCAACATCTGAAAAATAGGTCTTTTCAGGGTAACTGCACCTGAATGTCCATGGCAGTGTGAGTTTGCATTCCTGGGGGCCTTAGGCACAGGGCCGGGTGCGTTTCATTGTGTCCTTTCTTTTGCACTTAATTTTAGGACCATGTGTCTTGTTTCCCCAGACAAAGTGCAGACCTCTCTCAGGGCAGGCTTTGTGTGTTCTTTTATAATCTTCCACCGAACGGAGCACAAACAGGTGTTCAGTTAATACTGGGTACAAAAGTAAAAGCATGTGCAGGAGCCCAGGCTCCATCCAAGGAGGGATTTAAGTCCCCTGTTCTCTGTTCAACTTAAGGAACAAAATGTTTTTTTGCTATTTACCTGAGCTCAACAGGATCAAACACAAGTTTGACATCATTAATTATGCTAGGAAGGTACTTCAAAGCTGCCCCCTGTAAGAAAAACACCAAAAGCAAATTCAAAGGTACAGAATTTACTGCTTCATCCCAGGAAGAAAAGGCTGACTATGGATCTAAAACAGGGAACTGGACACAGATACCCTTACAATAAAAATCAAAGCTGATGTTGCTATGCACAATCTCCTAAGTGAAACCTTTTTCCTGAAAATGCAGGAGGCTTTTCTTTAAAGGCAGCTTACTGTCTTCCCTACCAGCAGGCACTGTCCATTTGGAATTCATTTTTCTATCTAAGGGGGGAGTTAAATTCTTAAAGTCTCCCTTACAAAGTTGCCATAAAGAGCAAAGAATAAAGCTCAAATCTGAGTCTTCACAGATTATGCGTTTCACATTTTAAAAGAACTGATGATGAAGAAGATAATGGTGACTTTGTGATTCTGGGAAGAAAGAAGGAAATAAAGATAAAAAATTGTCATATGTAACAGCATCATGATCAGTTTGCTGAAATCAGGGGTCAGACAGGGGTCTCGACGGCCATTCAAAGGATGTCTAAAAAGGCAGCTTGTATTTGGCAAACTGACATTTGAAAATACATGTGTACCTAAAAGTTAGAATGTGGGTTTTTTCCTTTGCTTCTATACATCATATTAAAATTCATAAGCCATCCATGAACCAAGATTCAATTGTTTT